GTGCTGCTTTTTTTTTTTTTTTTTTTTTTTTTTTTTTTGCCCCCCTACAAGAAGTGAGAGATCAGTCTCATAAACTGGAACCAATTCTCAATGAATATGAAAGGAAGGAAACCAGTGGCAGAAATACAAACCTGTTTCAACAGGAATGTATTGATTTATCTGAAATACTCATACTTATTGTTACCTATTTCTCTCTGTCACCACTGTCAGAAATAAGGACCATTTGGGGTTGTTTTGACAAGGTTTTGGGCGGGGGGCAGCGGGCACAGGCAGGGAAGGAGAGGAGGTCCCATTTGTAATGACTCATTTATATTTGGCATCCTTTTGTGTATAGGAGTTCTGTGTATCACTGTAAAACATGGTATTGTTCTCAGGGAAACTTTTTAATCCTTTGCCCTGAGGTACAGGGAGTGTCTGCGGCTTTTGTTGAGGATGTCAGAAGCTTGTGGTTTTGTGTGATGGATTAGGAGAGCATGTTTACCTAGTTCTTCTCTATGGGCATGAAAAATCTATGCATTTGTAGTGTTATTGCTTCTGTTGAGAATTTATTTATGTTAAAATAGCTTGCTTAGAAGGAGACAAAAAGCCTTGCTGTGTTAGGGCTTCACTCTTTATTATCTGCAGGTCACACACTCCAGGTTCAGTGAATGACCTTGTCTAATTGAATTTGTATTTGTTTCCTGCTAACAGTAGGAATCCTTATGCACTGCTTTCTGTTTCCAGGAATACTGAATGATTAACAGTGAATGATTACCAAATTATGTTTAACATTATTAGTAGATCAGGTGCATACAGATTGGATAAAATGTATTCTATCTATCTTTATTATAAAAACTTGGTAAATGTTCCTGTGATTTTGGCAGAAAGGCAATTTCAAGTAAAAAAGTCTTGCTGCATACATGCAAAACTATGTCTCCTATTAACTGCGTTGCAGTGTGTTTTAAGACCCTTATCCCATTATACTAGTTCCTTCCAAACATGTAGTAGTGGCAGAGCTTGCCCTTTCATTAGGATAGCTTCGTGTCAAGCCTAAACTGCTAAGTGAAACACAGATAAGTAAATATGGTAAGAAGAATACAGTGGTGCTTTTTGTATAACTTCATCTGATAACAGAAAAGGACAAACATGTACCTTTTTAAGACTTCTTTTCTTGGCAGTGGAAGGGAAAAATTAGCTTTTAGTGTTTTCCAGTTAAGTTGTGCTGTTTCTATCCTTGGAGGTTTCGAAGACCTGCCTACCAAAAGCCCTTGAGCAACCTGGTCTAATCTCATAGCTGACTCTGCTTTGAGCAGGAGTTATGCTAGAGATCTCTCAAGGTCCCTTTCAGCCTGAATTATTCTATGATTCTAATATATAACTTGAATGTTTCTAACTTCAGAGTTTCACTCTAAAGATATACTTTAAGATTTTAAAGAAACTGGAGAATCAGAAATTCATCTGCTCTTTGTCAAAATTGTTCTAATATTTTCAGTTTAAACTGTAAATCAAATCAAGAGTTTATGGATTAAAAGCTTTAAGAGAAATTCCTAAAATCTGTGGAATGAGAAGAGAGCATTACCAAGGAAGTCTAGAAAACATTTAGTTGTATCCTAGAGAGTGGATGGTTATAACTGAATTTTGTACCCTTAGCACATGACTGACTTCTAAATCTTTCCCTCCTCTGATTGCCATGAAATGATAGGATGTTGTCCTACTGGCATGTTCTAGGTCCCTGAACGTTCGTCAGGTGAAAGATTCTTCATGGTGCTAGTGAGAATGAGCCATTTTCACAGGAATGTCATCATTGCCCAGTCAGTTACACTGGCTTGCTCATTGTATAACTATATAGGATGTTTTACTGGGTGTCATCTTAGCTTGGCCACAGTAGATTACTTTTGGAAACAGATCAGTGATAGTTAATGAAGATTGTTCTGTATTATTGCTGAGCTTTTACTACTGCAAGGCAGAGCCTCTTAACTTGTGATTCCTTAAGAATAACCATTAGTATAGGATTCTCTGGTCTGCTGTTTTTTGTTGTAGTATCTCCAAATCTAAGTCACTTCTATGGATGTCCTCTTTTTTTAATGTATTGTGTTGCTGCAGTAACATTCTTTCCTTGACAGATTGTTCATGAGTCTGTATTTGTAGTTTGTTTTGAAACAAACTGGGTTCTGCCTAGGTGCTTTTACATTCTTAACAGTTTGGTCCCTTCTGTGATTTCTAAACTATATGTGATTGTCTGTCTCTTAAAATCACTCTTCATAAAGGTGAGCTAACCCAAGAAAAAGTATAGTTCTGGCACTAGAGTTATCAGAGCAGGAACTAAAGAAATGGTATTATGACTAGCAGTGGGTATTTTGCTGAGAGATACATTCTAAAATGCATCATTAGTTTAATTTCTACAACATCCATAAGACAAAATGTGGCTCTTTCCCAATCCATCAAGAAAAAAAAGCAGCTATAATTGACAGTAAAGCTTACCAAACTATTATTTGCTTACCTTAATTACAAAAATTCATATATGTGAACCCAGGTTACATGGATATTTGGGTTATTTTTTGCTAAAAAAATTACTATAAATTATCATGGGACTGTATATGTTCAAAAGAATAAATGTTAATTTATTGTTGTTTAACTTCTGTGTTCATGGAAGATTCCCCTTTGTAATTTATTTGCAGGTTTTTAATGCGAAAACAGCAGAGCTCCTGAGTCACCATCAAGTTGAGATACAGCAGAAATTCCCTAAAGAAGGGTATGAATTTTCTGTGTTTTTTTCATTTGTGTACATTTTGATAGAGCTTACTTATTTTTATTTATGAACAGTGAAAACTGAAGTTGATTAATATTTATTAAGAACATAGTATCTGCTATAACAGACTGTGTGGCAGGAAAAATGGCATTAAAAACCTGACATTGAGTGTCCATTATGTGCTCTGAGTTACGAAATCTGAAAATACTTAGCGTTTTACTTTGACCACTCATTAACGTATTTAAAGTTTAAACTTTAAAGTTTAAAACTAAAGTTTAAACAAACTTCAGGTCTTATTTAAAGTGATAAAGCTGATCATTTTTACAATTTAAGCATAGTCTTCAGCTTAGTCCACAGAAATTGCTTAGTTTGTTCTCTGAGGTGGTTTTTTTTGTTTGTTCTTAACTGACCTACCATTTGCTGCCAAAGCCCTCTGTATAGAATAAAACAAAACAAAAATCTTTGTTTTCTGCAGTTGGATTTGTTGTGAAAATACAGCTTATTGTTTAAAAAGGTTTTGAAATTCCTTACACTTTTTCTAGATACATAAAACACACTTTGTATTTATGATTGTGTCAAAATGCTCAGCTGGTTTTTCAGACTAGAATTTCTTTTATTCCTTAAATGCAATTTTTTGCCTTTTTATTAACTGGTGTTTACTGTTTGTTAAAGATGGGTGGAACAAGATCCGAAGGAAATACTAAAGTCTGTCCATGAATGTGTGGAAAGGACCTGTGAGAAACTGCAACAGCTGAACATAGACATCACTAACATAAAAGGTATTCCTCATGCTTAAGGGTAACTGAGGGCTTTAACATACTCATGGTTGAGCAAGTCAGATTCTCTAGATTTAAAGTCAATAAATAGAAAGGTGGCAGCATGTGCCCAAAGAAAATGTTAAATTGGAATCAAGAGCAGTTGTTTGGGAGGAATAATGAGAAAATAAGACCGTCATGTGTATTAGCAATGCAGAATCTACAAAGTATACTTAAACTAATCTTGCAAAATCAGAGACAAGTGATGAATGAAGAAATTCAGAAATGTAAATTAGGACCTACTGGGAAAAGCTAGTTTCCCTGTCTGTTGTTGCTGTCTCAGTTTGTGGCAGAAAAAAGAGAGATCTAGAGCACATAGGTTAAGCAGCAAAAGCTGAATGATGAGTGTTTAAAAGTAATATTTCTAGATTATAACATGAAAAATTTGGAAGCTTTTTATTTCCCATTTACTTTCCTTTTCTCCTTACCTGTTCCTCCCTCCTCTCTACCTCCCCGCTCTGTCCCTCCCCCTCAAAAAGGGGAAAACAAACCTTCTGAAAAGGATACTTCTTTCTATTTTGTCCTGAAGCCATTGGAGTCAGCAATCAGAGAGAAACAACAGTGGTTTGGGACAAGACAACTGGAGAACCTCTTTATAATGCTATTGGTAACTACTATACTTTCTGTATATGTAATATTGTAAAATGAGCATTGTTGTAGAAAAATGCTTTCCTAGTTTCCTGTGCAGATCTTATTGTGGCCTAGCCTACTAACTTCTTTGATTTTTATTTTTTTTTTCTATCTGTGTCATAAGCTGTGTGTTTGTGTACACCAGTGCAATTAAAAAACCCTATTACATAAAAATTATTACTTAATAGTTAATAAATCACTTTATGGGCTTTTAACAAAAACCAGTGTTCCTGAGGGGTTTTGTACCTCCCTGGCATGTAACGAAGCTCTGATTTAACACTCAATTACTTCCTTTTAGATAAAGGAGCTTACTCAATTTTCAGGATGCTTTTGATTTAGCTTTAAAGGAAAAACATGTTAAGTAGGTTTAATGCATATTTATTGATTTGGAGTTTTAATTTATGTTAGCTTTTCAGATTATTTCATCTGAGAAATGGTAATTGTCTAGACTTGCTCTCTTAGGCCATGTCAAGTGCCAGATTTAGTTCACTGTAGTATCACTGAAAAAACAGCTTTATCTTAAGCCTAGCTGTACTTTGATAACTCTCACATAGAACTTTAGTTCAAAGTTTTCATTGGAATAGTAAATAATCAACTTGCGATTTGTTCTAACCCATTAGTTTAATGAGTCATCTGCTGTAAACAAAGTAGTATTAGTCATTTGCTTATGCTCTGATAGAGAAAAGTGTATAACCTATTATGCGGAAAATTCTGTTTGATTTCTCAAATTTTTTGTTTCTCTAAATCAAATGAGTTTAACCACTTTTAATTTTTGCAACAGTGCATTTAAAATACAACAGCAGTACAGTGTTCTCTCAGCTACATGAAAAGCTGAAAGTAAAGACAGGAATTTACTGGCAAGAGCTCTAGTTTTGTAGAAGAAACTTGTACATGTCACTTTTTGTGTATTAAATCAGTTGATCAGTTAATTTTATTCATGTTTTTAGTGTGGCTTGACCTGAGAACCCAGTCAACAGTTGAACGGCTTCTTAAAAGAATTCCAGGAAAAAACAAATCATTTTTTAAGGTAAGAGTTATTCCAGAGCATTTAAATAGTTATTACTACGGTATATAATGTTTTAGAGATGTGTGCTTAAAATTCCCTAAAACAAAGTAAGTCAGCTGTAGCTTCTAGTCCTTTCTTAGCTTGTCATAAAAAATGTGCATAATACTATACACTGATCTGAGACTGGAAAATGTTTATTTTCCTCAAAATAAGTGTTTAACACTCTCCATATGTCTCACTAGAGAAGATAAATGAGTAGCCATTAGTGAGGCTTAGATCATGTGCTACCTATCCAATGACAAGTAAACACCACACACAAAAATTAAGAGCAAGTAGAGAAAAACTATTTGGAAAATAATTTCTTGATGTGAAGTATCTTAACCTTTCTCATCTTATGCTTAATACTGAAATTGATGGCAACCATTCTGAGATTGGGAAGATAGTTTATAAAGAGCAAATGATTTTTTTTTTTAATATGGGTGTATATATATAACAATTTGGAAAATAAAAGCTTGCAAAAAGGTTTCATAATTCTTTGATTTGTATTTTTCTTGATTGATTGTATAAATATTATGTATTTTATATATTAGATATTTTCCTGTAGGCAGAAAACAAATGTCAAAAAGCATATAAACTTATTTGATTTTTAAGTGTTAGTAGAATACAAATTCCATCTTTTCTGTGTTGTGTGGTTAATTTTTGTTGTCATTACTTACTTACTAGTCACATAGTGATATCCTAGATAAGACAGGACTTCTGCAAACAACTATGTCCACATATATGGTCTTTGAACTGCATTTAGATCAGCTTTGATGTTTGTCCATTAATGCACTGGTTATTTGTTCTTGGTGTTTTCAGACTTGTGTACTGCATGCTTAGTACTTATTTAAATACCAAGTTTGTGTAATTTCTTTGTTTTGTCTTCAGTTTTTCAGTTACTACCACCATTTTTATATATAACTACAGTATTCATGGAAAAGATACTTGCATGATTTTTTTTTACAGTTTAGGACTGGTCTTCCACTTAGCACTTACTTTAGTGCAGTGAAACTTCGATGGCTTTTGGATAATGTGGAAGAGATTAGGCAAGCAGTTGATGATGGAAGAGCTATGTTTGGGACTATTGATTCATGGCTTATATGGGTATGTATTTGTGAGTTTATTATTACTCTTTTAAAAATGAATTTCCATATCATGCAAATTCCTGTGCAAAGTACTGTGATAATTGATGCCTGTTGATCACACAGTGATGTCAAAATAAGCCACTAAAGAAATTCCTTTAAAGTTCCTTACAAAATGAACTTCCACTGTCCCTGTATCACCGTGGGTTTTTTGTAGATGCTTATATGTTGCTGTCAAATTTTGAAAAATTCTTGGGCTTTAGAAAGTTGTATTAGCCACATTTGCAATATAAGAATCCAGGAGGTACTGCTGTACCCTTATTACCTTTCTCATGCCTTTGTTCCACTATAACAGGTCGGTCTTTTTAGTTGTTGCAGAAATACCAGAGTTCCTAGTCCCAAGATGAAAGCTTTGTGAATTTAGACAATTTTTTGTGATTCGTTGAAGTAAACCTTTATCTTTTCTTGGTGAATACTGTTGATGGTTTTTTTTTTATTCAGAGTTTGACAGGGGGAAAGAATGGAGGCGTTCACTGTACAGATGTAACCAATGCCAGTAGGACAATGTTGTTCAACATTCATTCCTTGGAATGGGATCCTGAGCTCTGCCAGTAAGCTCAGTTTTTCAGTAATACTGTTATTTAGACAGATTCTATAAGTGATGTGTGAATAAACTCATGTAATAGTAAGAATCTCTTATCTAGACTAAGATCAGCAATTATTGTTGTATCTACTGTTAACATTTGTAATCAAAATTCATTGTTCTCCAGATGTCTAAATTGCAAGTGACTGTATTAATTAAATGTAGTAGATTTTTTCTGGAGGTGGAAGACTGGTTCATAGAAACAATGATATTTAATAGTTTCTTTATTCATTAATCAAATTTATAAGGCAGCTACAATGATAGAGTGTCTAATTTAAATTTAAATTTATTAACAAGAACATTATAAAGATTTTGTTGGAAGAGGAATGACTTTCCACATGCAAGAGTTGAATATGTCTTCAAAATATTCAAATATGTGCAGTTTTACTCCATAATTGAGTGTCACATACTGTAACAAGTGAAAAAGAACATAGTGATGGATTAAACACTAGAAATCAAAGTTCATTTTGTAATTTTTTTTTCTTTTACATCTTAAACTTAATTAAGAAATAAATGTGAAATGCTCTCTGATTTATCACTGATCATATATAAAAATTATTCTCTATTGTGTTCAGGTTCTTTGATATTCCTGTGGAAATACTCCCAAAAGTACGAAGCTCATCTGAGATTTATGGCTTGATGGTATGTTTTCTTGTGTATGTGTGAAGCTGATGTTGTAAAAATGTAACAATATATATTTGACAGAATTTTTATGGATTAGACTAATGGCTTTTTCTACACCAATATTGTTTGATTTATTACTATGTCATTATCTACTGCTGTATATTATATGAAGTTGAATATCTGTTGTTTTCTCTTTTAAGTGTCAAATAGACAAAACAAGATGGGAGAGTTTTTTGACAAGGATAAATATTTGATTTTTTTATTACAGTTACTTATTGATTTAGAATCTACCTATCAGAATGCAAGGAATAATGAGGAGATTAAAAAATTAGATTGCTGTTATTAGAGCAGAATATTTTTACAGCTTGTATAATCGAAGAGGTGAAAGTTGCTATGGAAGTCTTTGTGATCTAAGAAGACTGGACAAGACATGTAATGTCTTTTTTCCACAACTGAAGGCAAGATTAGTCAGTTTCTCTGAACTGAAAAATCACAAGTGACACTTTGGATTGCCTTGGTTTTGAAAAATAAACTTCTCTTGCTGTGTATATTTACATAGCACTTAGTAAAAAAATATTTTGGAATACTGTGATGTCTTTTTAATCACACTGCTTCCAGTGCAGCTGTGAATATTACTTAGAAGTAAATATAAAATAAAACATATAAAGTAAATATAAAATATTAATATATATATAAAGTAAATATAAATTTATATCAATAGTATTTACTTTATATTTATAATGTAAATATAAATGTAATATAAATATAACATATAAATATATCTAAACAAAACATAAAATAAAAGTAAAAATTACTTAGGAGTAAAAAAAAATTGTTATCATGGGGCTGAGGTTTCAAGTTTACTTGGTGCAGCCCCAACTCTTCTGATAGAGTGGCATCTGATTTATTAGCTTCAGAATCAAATAAACTGGATGTTGTGATTTTGCATTCTTTTTCCTGGTATCTTGCCCTAAGAACATACAGACATTTAGTAATTGAGGCAAATTATGAGATTTGTATTTAAAATGTAACTCTGACTTGCCTGAAATGTAAGTATTTTTTCTAATCTGGTAATGGAGATTCCATTAGAAGACATTGCTGAATTTTATTGATGTGGAAGTTGGATGAGAGTGAGTTGTATTGAGCTGAATGAGTGAGATAAATGGAAAAGATACTACCTGGCAACTGAAACAGAATAGCCAGTCACTTTAAACGTGAACCTTTGTTTCTCTTCCCCTTTCTTTCCAATTTTTTTTTCTTTTTCTTCCTTTTGCTGACTGTAGAAAATCTGTCCTAGCCTGGTGAGTAGAGGCTTCCATTAGGCTGACCACCTATATCTTATCCATTCTGTTCAGATGCTGTGCATTTCCTTTTGTTTAAGATGAGTAAAAGCACACTTTCCAGACCAATAAATATGGCAGGTATTTCTGAACTTGAGATATTACAGTTAAAGTTCATACCAAAGTTATTTGTGAAATGTAATCTTAACATATGCATTTGCCTTAATTTGCAGTCTGTTGAGTATTAGATTTTATAGCAAAGTAATAAATACATCTACTGGCTAGTAAATGTTGGCTGTCTTATTTTATAAATGAGAAAAGCAGGCCATTCTGTCTACAAATATTCATTCTATTATAGTTAAACATCATATTGATGCATTTTTTAAACTGCATTTATTAAATCAAATTAATTAAAATGAGAATTAAAGAAAAAAGATTCGGTTTGGAAATGCACTTGCATGGCTTCACTGAAAATGCATTTTCTCAATTGCACAAAGAAGCAGTTTAAAGAAAGAAATAAAAATTATCAGGGTGTGTATTTCTTATGATACCTGTAGCAAGAATGCAACTGAAAAACTACATGGTAGTGTTTGGAAGAAATTCTACATGAGATTTAAAATGCTGTATCTTAAAATGAGGCATCTGTCCTTACTTTGTGTGTCATCACACTCACATTTTTTTCTAGTCACTTTAACATTTTACACTTCACACTGACTTCACAGATTACACTGAACCTAATTTTCTGTGCACTATGATTTCAACAAAATTAAGAACTGTTGGAGCAACATAAAGTATACTGTAAATTTTCTGCTCTCTATTTTTTAGTAGCTTAGGCATGAGCTGCACTGAGCTGAAGTCCAGATATACACCTGAACTGAACCATGTTGCTTATGTGACCCTTCTTTATTTTCCTTTGAGCATTACAAGTTTAGCTGCTTTTTCATTGCCCTAAATTGTAGTCATGGAAAACTAATTTGGAGCTTTTCTTCCTCTTTTTGCGAATTAGAAATCTGGAGCTTTGACAGGTGTACCAATTTCTGGGGTAAGTCCTACTTCAACTCAGATTCTGGCATGAGAACTTGATACTGCATGAACGTATCTTCACTGGAAAAAACTTTAAGATGGGTGAATCTGCTGCAAATTAAATTGGTGGTCTTTTACTTCATTTAAACATGAAGTAAATTTCTGAAGTTGAAGTTTTGAAGTTGAATTCTTCATTATTAAGTTAAGGTCTGGCTGTGGAAATACAGCTGACAGCTTTAATGCATATGTGTAGTGCTGTTGGAAACTTAGGATCTCCAAGTAAGTGAGTAACATTACAAAAGGGAAGCAAGCTCTGCTTTATATATAAAAGGAGTTCAGTATATACATAATCCAGAAATGTTGGGCAGATTCTCAGCATTTTCCAATAAAATGTACATAAAGATAGTAAATTTTAATTATTTTTCTTTTAATTGTTCACCATAAGTAGCACAACACATTTCATTTGCAGTTCTTACAAAGGGAAGAGTAGTAAAAAGCACACATTGTCTCTACAGACAATCTACAGATTTTCCCTCACTTACAATTGCCTGTGTGCTCCTAATATAGTTAAATATATCTGTTCATGTTGCTTTTTCATGCATGTGATTCATGTGCAGATATTTGCTAAAAAAAGTCTCTCTTTTCAGTGCTTGGGTGACCAGTCTGCTGCTCTTGTTGGGCAAATGTGTTTTCAAGATGGGCAGGCAAAGAATACGTAAGTTATTATGAAAGTTGGATGATAAACACACTGTTTTGAATTTAGTGTTCTGTTCTCTTTCAAGTTAACTGCCAAAACTGCCAAATGCTTTTGTAGTTACTGGATAACTCCAGCTCTACCTTTTGACTGTGTTGACCTACAAAGTAAAGAGCGTCCTGACTTTTATATAAAATAGTGAAGATATTAAAGGTATATGGTTTTTGAGATGTATTTTGGAACAAAGTCACTGTGAGGAAATATCTCTGTGTGACAGGAGGTTTTTTCATTTAAAATTCTCCAAAACACAGATTAAAACAGTTGCGGTATCATTTAAATTGTGATCTAAAGTTAAACAAATACAAGCTGTGTGAGTTAGATTACATAGATTTGAATGGCAAGAAAGCTGCAGCATTACTAGATGGGAAAGGTTCATTTCAGTTACAGTGCTTAGTTTTGCTTCTGTGTCTAGCTCAGTGTGGAGAATTTTACATTTGGTTTTTTTTTTTCCTATTTCTCAGCCTCTTAGTGTCCCTTGTTTAAAATAGCTGATCAGTTAAATCAGGCAACTGGTGTAATCAAACATTCATTTGAGGAAAAGCTCTCTGCTTAAATGACTTACTGTTCCATTTACAACCATGTGCTTAACTGAGCATGTAGATACATACTCAGTATGAGACTTTCACAGATTTAATTACACATTAAACTATACTTGTTGCTAATTAACCTTCACTTTATCTTTTATATTTATACACAAATGTAATGGTTAGTGGCCTTGTATTTTAGTAAAACAAACATGGTTCTAAGGAATATTATCACAAGGTATTTTTATAACAAATACTTTTGTAACAGAAGAGACCTTTGGAAAAAAAACCCAGCTAAACAAAAAAGTGAAAGTGAGATTCTTTAAACCTATTTGTGTTGCTTCACCCTTTTTCTTTCCAAACAATTTAAGATTATCTCCATACTATTTTAAGCTATTAATTTTCAGGGTATTAAAAAGGTAAGGAACTGGTCATGTCTTAGAATAAGTTAGAGTGGATTATAAGTATTTTGTACTCCTTTTACTAAACTGTGTCCTTATATATGTTTGTATGCACATATATATGTGCTATAGTCTTCAAATGAGAAACATGCCATTTTTAGAAATTTTTGAACCGAATATGTTTAAAGAAAACCTTCTTCTTTGTGACAGGAACAAAGTTCCTAATTTTTCCCCCTTAAAAGCTTGAATTTAATATTGTGAAATATTTATTTTATAAAGTAGCTTTCATAATCACCTTAAATTGAAGTAGGTAAACACTGCCACCAAAGAGGAATTCACACTTAGTTTTTTAGCTATATCTGCTACTTGATCAAGTATTATACAAGAAATAGCCAGAGAGAGAGAGGTGTGGGACTAGATTTTTCAACTGCAGGCTACATTTAAAGCAACTTTTTGAGGATAGTTTTATCATCAGTTAATGGTAACATAACTTTCAAGGGGCAAAAAGTGGTGTCTTGATTCTCCACAGGGGAATCATGGATTCATGAACTGCAGTAACAGGTTATCCTTTAAACACCCTGGTTTTAACTTTCCTTTGCTTTCATGCTAGGTATGGAACAGGATGTTTCTTGCTGTGCAATACAGGTCAGAAGGTCAGTTGCATTTTTCAATTGTTCACTTTTTTTAAACAATCTTTATAAGTTCTTGAGTAAAACTATATATTAGCTTTTCTTAAACTTATTATCAATATTTATATAATAATATAAACTTAAAACAATTATTGTGCTAGAGATAAGGAAAACCACATACTGAAATCTGAAAGAGCAGAAAGTAATAATTTGTTCAAGGTGTTTCAGTAAGACTCCATTTCCTAGCTCCTTAAGTTTCCAAAAATAACTTTTCATAGCAAGTTTCTTGCTCTGTCCTTGTATGTTTCTTAATCTCACCCAGAAGTGCTGAGTGTTGTCACTTAACCACATGCTTTTTTTCTTGTTTGGGCTATTTTATTTCTTCCTTTTGTTTTGTCCCATTGTTTCTTTGTAGTTGTAGTTGAATAAGTAATGCAAAGCTTTGGCTTCCTTCTTATTCACATCGTCTTCTAAAGAACCCCAATTCTTTGCTGTAAGAAGGCTGGAAAGATCTGAGGCAGCTTGTGGAAATAAGAATTAACACCAGTGATGTAAGGGTTCTATCTTAGGTGTTTTTTTAGAGTGACTGATAATTTACTTTGCTTAAACTTTCCATATTTTTTTTTCAATGAAGGTTTTGTCTCTTGTTTATTATCATTTGACTATTTTTATTTAAACATTTTCTGCCTCTGTTCATGCTTTACCTTTTCTTTCCTTTCCCCATTTAGTCTGTGTTTTCTCAGCATGGTCTTCTAACCACCATAGCTTACAAACTGGGGAGAGACAAACCTGTTTGTTATGCACTAGAGGTGAGTTCAGTAATTCCTTCCTCTTTGTAGTGATACATGTTCTTGTTTACTTGTTTTCTGGTATTATGTTATCTTCAGTTGCATGGAAATCAAAATAGTTTTGTGTTATACCTTGTGTGCCTCAAGGTTCATGTGTGGTTTTCGTTATCCCTATCTCCAATCTATATCATGTAAGCTAATAAAAATATGTCTACACTACATCATTTATATTTTCAGGGCATGATGGCTAAAACATTTTTTCTGGTACATAGTCTTTCAGATATTTAATAAATGTTATAAATAAACAAAACAATTCTTTTTATACTAACATTGGGTTTTAAAAAGAGGGAAAAAGTGCTAATGTTTCAGTTATCCTCTCATAATAAAATGTCTTTTTTATTTCATTCTAATGGATTTTACTTCTAACTTTTAAAAAATCTGAATGAAATTTTTGGGACAAGAATTCTCTAACAACTGAGGTTTTTTTACCTACTAAGACTTAGGTGTCTGCTTCCAGAATTTGGTTCCTCAGTTTTCACACAACTCTGAGGGCATCCAGATTCTGTAGAAAACTGAATTTTACTTCAAATTCAGGGTTCGTTGTTGTAAAGCTCTGTTTCTGAAGCACAGATCAGCTAAGCACCTGTTAGGCACCAAAGCTTCATCGGGAATAATAGAATGATTCCATCGATGTTGCTTAGTGGGCTTGATCTAGTAGTTATTCTCAAAACATGTATATTGAATTCTCTGCTGCTGTTGAGCTTTTGTACAGAGCCTATGTTTTTCATGTGAAACAGACAAAGACAACACACAAGGTTTTCTTCACTGGGAGAATAGTTTGTGGCTTACAGTACTCTGTTAGAATGTGGGAGGCCATGATCATTTCCTTGTTCCTAAGGGAAGTTGATCTTGCAATTGCCATGTTCTGGCAAACTTTGGGATTTTTGTTTTGTGTGAGCTTGTGAAAGGTTTGATTTATTTTTAACCCATGTTCTTAAGAACTGGAACTGTGTTGACAGTGATATTTAATTCTGCATGCTGAAACACATGCATATGTATTTTTTGCTTCTTCCTCATCTCCAAGGCTTTAATGATATTGTCTAAAGGAATGGCTTCAACGGAAGATATTAAGTGGGGCCATTCTGGGTTGTATGCTGAGGCAGCAGAGCAATTTTGCTGGCAAATGCAAGTGCCTAAATTTTCTGTCAGTTTGGGCATTTGTATTTAGACTCTAGACATCTTCAGTCTTGTTTTTTTAAATCAAGCATAAAAATCTTCATTTGTCAAAAAAAAAAAAAGACTGAGGCTACTGGACCATATAACTGTATATTCAGAAGACCTGAATTTGAGTGACAAGAAGACTGCTTAGGAAATGTCATGGTAACCCCCCTCTATGGCAAAAATCATGCAGTATTTCTACATGGATCTATGTAACAGGCTGCCATTTTTATACAGCAGTCTCCAGATGCCAAGAAACTTGTGGTTTGGTTGTGAGCATTCTTGAGAGTGCTTTAAGCTGTGACTGTAAGCTTGCAGTTGGAGACCGCAGCTACCCTTCCTCTCCAGTCTTGTAAAAAGGAACACAAAGCTACCAATTGTTGTCTCCTAATGTTGCAGTGATTTTGTTTCCTTCAGGGATCTGTTGCAATAGCTGGTGCTGTTGTCCGTTGGCTGAGGGACAATCTCGGTATCGTTAAGACTGCACAGGAAGTTGGTGAGTATTCACAATTTGAAGCTGTTTAGTTTTTTAAATTTTCTTTTCTAGTGTCTTAATGTTGCTAATGTTGAATGAAGGTTCAAAATATTCAAGTAAAGAAGAGACGGAAGATGCATATATGTTGCTGTGTTTGAACAATTTGTTTTGCATCCATGAAATCACTGTTTATTGATACCTGTATTTCATACAGCATATCAATACAGTCTTTGAAACCATTTGTCAGCTTTGTTCTATTGCAACTTTTACTTTTTAATAGTTTCCCTAGCAAGCAGATATTCAGGAAGATACTATACTAACAGTGTATTTTCCCATTTCATACAATATTGAATTTTCCAGAGCCAAGAGTATTTTAAGTCTCTGTTACGGAAGCCAGAGCATATTTGATCCTAAACTTACATATTCATTCCTGTCATAAACATGAGAACATGAGGCCCAACATATGCAACAACTTCGGTAGAAGACTTCATTGAGTTAGGGGCCTCAGTTTGCAAAGCTGCCTCTTAAAGGAATTGTGGATGACGGTAATCTGTTTTGGCTAAGAATACGGTAGTCCTTTAGCATTTGTGTAGCTGATGTTTTCTTCTTGAGCTGAACTGAAACAAGCTGGTGTGTGACATTATAGAAAACTAGGAATATATCAAGCTTTGAAAAAGGAGAAAATGTAGGACGCATGCAAGTATAACAGTTTGAAAGTGACTGATTTAATGAGATTTAGGATTAAAAAGCAATTCATTACGTATTTTTAATAATTGGATCTCTTATTCAAGGGTAGAAAAATTTAGAATTCTTATTTTACATAAAGCTTAAAAGATTAAGCAAAACTTGAAATGTCAGTCTGATTTTCTGTAAGAAAGCTTCGCAGATCGTACAGAAGAATATAAACTACTCTCACATGAATTAACCAGCTGTTGAAACACTAAAGTACCTCTTGGCTTCACAACTTTAACTAGACCTTTGGAGGGTTTGTGTTTCAAGAACTTGTCATGGTGGGACTTCATCATCCTCTTCCTGAGCTGCACATTAGCATTACTTCTTTTGCGGTTCTAGATGTTTTAATATAATTTTTAAAGTTACTAATATTTTAATATTTGGAAGTTCAGATATTCAAAGTTATTACTTGGATATTAAGAAACTTCAGATTTCCTTGTAGCTGGCCTTGTGATTATATACGTAAACTGAGAATTTAGAACTCTAAATCCATTTGAAATTAATGGGAATTTAGTTCTTAGCTCCCTTTGGTCTTGATCCAATTTCACTTGCTTGCCTTGACTTAAATGCAAGTAGTGTGACTTTTTGGACTGCTTTGAAGGTTGTATTCTTTACCCACAGGACATCCTTTGAAAACCTCACACAATCTAAATCCGAATATTGAGTACACAATTTTGGTTTTCGGTTTTGATTTTTCATTTTACATTTCCTGCAACTCCCTATGCCCCATCTTCCATTCACGCTGTTGCAAATGGACAACTAGTTAATGAGGAGCAGAGTGCCAGAGTTAGTTGAATTTTCTAACTGTATGTGGGTTATTTTTGTAGTTACCTAACATATTCTGAATATTTTCCTCGTTTAAGTAGTAACACCTTTAAGTGTCATATTTAAGTGGTAGTACAGTTGTGAGAAGCTAAGTGAAGTCTGTTTGTGTGTGTGCATTAGAAAAACTGGCCGCAGAAGCGGGGACTTCTTATGGCTGCTACTTTGTGCCAGCATTTTCAGGACTGTATGCACCATACTGGGAACCCAGTGCAAGGGGGTAAGGATCTGACTAAACACTGCATTCACAGGTAGATTTAGTGATTTTACAGATACTATCACTTGTCCTTCCAGTTATGTGAAATTGTTCTTTCTCTTCCTTTTACTGTGTCTGAATACATCATTCTCTGTGGTATCTTCAGTCAGCTACTGTGTTTCTCTTTTATATTTAACCTGTTCAAAACAGCAACTTCTAGAGGGAGAAGAAGAAAGCTTAGCTAGCTCTGCTACTCACCCTCCTCCCCTGCCATGCCTCCAAAAAAAAAGGGAGCGGGGGGACAGGGGAAACATTTGGGCTGGGTTGTGCATTTTAGAGGACAAGTACAAGATAGTGCCATCATCCTTGCCACTAAGGGGCCAGCTTTTTTTCTTCATTCATTTCTGGTTTTGAAAGGATTTTCATCTCACTAAAGAAAAAGAGGAGTTCTGCATACCTGTGAACTGTAAGGCAACAGAAGGAGAAAGATCTACTGCTTGGGGTTTTTGAGCTCAGTTTCTCATGGCTGCTGCATTCACTATCTCAAATGATACAGGCTACTTAGTTCCTCCCTAGTTCTCCTCCCTCTCCTTCCCCTTGTGTCCAGCTTTTTTTCCAGTTTATTGAACACTCTTTTCTCCTCTTTCCTGGTTATTAAGACTTAACTACCTGGTACTAGTTAGAACTACGAGTTCAAACAATAACCTTCTACTTGTCTTTTCTGCTATTGTGAGCTTGCCTGCTGTTGCTGGAATCACAACATGCCATGGGAGTCATAGAAACTAACTAAATACAAAATAACTTTCCTAAAGTGAGGAAGGAAATAGTAAATAATAAGGTTTTGAGTATTTGCATCTTTAGACTTTAGATGCTTTTTGTACTTAAGGAAGAAAAAAATCTTTGAGTTAGATGATTTTACAGTTTTTCAGATCACAGTACTTTACTGTTTAACTGTTAAAACGTGATCTTGGAATGGCAACAACTACAGATGTCCCTTAGTATCTTTTAACTTCCATGTATCCAGCACCAAATACAGCAGCATTTCTGTGTAGTATGCTACTATACCCTAGATGTTGAAATAGAATAAAAATATGATTATTTGCTATGCAGTTCTGAGTACATTGACAGAATTCATCTTACTCATGGTTAGATGTAGCATAATTTTCATATCCAAAAATCTCTTTGAAAGAGCAGATGCAACTAATGGTTGGAAAGAGCTGAAAACAGCTTTAGGCATTTAGAGCACAGCACTGACCTAGCTGGACTTTTCCTTAAGAACTGAAAGCACTAGAGAATCTATTAAGATTTTAGTGATAGGTGATACTATTTTTAAAAGAAAAATCAACCTCAGTCATACATTTCCTTTTCTTAAAGGAAGACTAGACTTTGTGTGTGTGTTCATGTGCGTATGGGTGAATACACACCCATCTGCATGCAGACAGGCAATAAAATTTTTAATGTATGGTAATTGTATGAACTGGACACTGAAAGCATGTTTGTCAGGAAAACAGCGATGACAGTTTAGATGAAATAGAAACAAGCCTTTCAATATTAAAAAGCAGTCCTCATACAATAGAACTGCATGAGCTTTGAATTAGATGGCCTCGCTCTGAAGTAACAGTGTATGTCTGGTAAAAAGAAGTATGTCCTAACTGGGTTTTCTTTTTCTCTTCAACAGTATTATCTGTGGCCTTACTCAGTTTACAAATAAAAAACACATTGCCTTTGCTGCACTAGAAGCTGTCTGCTTTCAAACACGAGAGGTAAAGGCAAATCGGGTCCTAAATTAACTGTAAATTAATATAACAGGGATTGTAGCTCTTCAGGAAGAGAGAGGATTGAAAAGATTTACGGAGATTAATCATATGCTTTATATTGTACTTGGATGCCGCTGTTCTCTTCACGTGGCACTGATGTTGAAAAATGGTTCCTGAGGGTTTAGCTACAGTAATGTGGTTGGGTGGTACATTATTTTGGAATTCTAATGCTACTTTTTATCAGCACTTAAAATAAGGTGAACGTATTTTGTGAATATTTTGAGAGAGAAAAAAGAAACATTCAAATGACGAGGCCCCTTCCATAACTAAAAAGTTGCATTTGTGTAGGAGAATACATTTTATATTGTCTACTGTGATGGAGGTGGCTTGTTTTTCTTCCAGTCACAAGAACAAAAAAAGAGTTAAAAGCAAGACAGCAGCAAACATACCAAGGGAAATCTGGATTCACTTCCTGCCCATTACACCTTGTATTGCCTTAGCTGGTATTCTGCTACAGCAAACCTAAATTCTCACATAAGACATGAATCCAACCAAATCAAAGGGGTCGATACCAGTATTTTCTGAGCATTATTATATGCATCATCATGTACTATCATTTTACACTCCCTGTGTTCTACACAAATATGGGAGAAAATGAAATTCCAATTTGATTGCATGTTTTTAAACTGCTGTTATTTAAACATACTGAGTTTTAAAATAACACCCAGCTAAAACTGTTTGAGAGGAGGAAAGCAGCTTGCTGTTTCTGTAGTGATAGAGTAAAAAGTACTCATGTGGATAAAGACAGCCAGAAATTTCACCCAGACATCGGCTTTTGAAGCTGTGCTAACAGCCTCTGAGTCATCAAAGTTGTGAAGAAGCTTCGAAGTAGCATATATCTCTAATTCTGGTACTAGAAGTCAAGGTAAAGTTACAGGGAACTGAACTGGTAGTCTAGTTTGTCTGCTCCTCTCTTTCCTTGTACCTCCTCTCATCCATTCCCCCTCATGTGACAACGAAGTTTCCAGCAGAAAATTATCCCTCTTTTTTGCTGGGCTATTTTTCCACTGAATTAATGACCTCAGCTGCCTCGCAGAGTGTGGCAAATGTCAGAACAAGAGACAGGGCATGTGGCTGGGAGCAGGAGAGAGAGGAATAGAGCTCTCAGACTGAGTGAGGGTGAAGTTAACTGTTTGAACTGATCAAATGCTTTCTCATTGTGCTTTTTTCACAATGACAGGAGTGCCCGATCCACTCTGTGGACATGCTTAAATTAACAGCTTAAGTCCTCATGACACGGATAAAATATATGTACATTTTTCAGAGATATATTGTTAGTTCTATCTCATCAGAAACAAAGTTCTTTTGTTTTAATTCCAGTTAAAATGGAAGTCTTTTATATCCTTCAGGAAACCTTTCAAATTTCACGTTCGATGGAGTTTTTACTTATTATGCCATTCAATCCTAAGTCTCTGTTTTTTGTTATCCAAAGAGCTCCTTCCTTGTGCAGATGACACTTGTAATGTTTTCTTCTTCCAGAGAGCATAATGGAAAAATAAGTAATTGTTCAGTTCTAAGGGTGTACAGTACTGTCATTAGACAAACCCTACATACTTGGATACTTGCTCTTCATTCAGCCTCAGTACAAAAGTGGGAACAGCAGCGTGATCACAATTTGCTTTGTTCCTTCACCTCTTCCAGATTTCTAGCATACTTTTCATTTTTTTACTCTCTACTTGAGCGCATAGCATGATCCAACATGCTCTTGCACAGTGGTAAACAAAGCCAGAGCCTCCAACAGTATGTGCGTAAAGCCGAGATTGAGGCACTGTGCTGAAATTCTGAATGGTAAAAAGGAGCAGGTGAAATCAGCATAGACAAATGCAAAGTGATACCTGTGGAGGAGATAAGTGGTGGGAGCAGTACTCATTTAGTACTGCCAGCAAACTTTGCTGCTGTGCTATGAATCCTCTTTTCCAGGTTATTACTGTATTGAACAGTGCAAGCCCATGGACAGATGCTGCCACCATGAAAATTGGCCTTTTACCTTCTCATTTTTAACCATTATTTATCCTGTGGCATTTCTTTTAGTTCCTTTAAAGATTTTCTGGTAAGAGACTGTGCTGACTTACTTTCTCGGAACAGGTAGAGTCTACTAGACAACTCATCTCTATATAGTTTTTACCACCTTAGAAACATACTATTTTTTTGTTCTTTTTTAAAAAGCATGTTCACTTTTCCCAGTAAGGATTGTGTAACTGGGTACTTTGTGAACTACAGAATGCTGTTTTGTACTTTTTTTGTGGTCTATGTTATTTTCTCATTTAAAGCTGATAAAAGCACACCTTTTTTTTATTCAAATAAATTGAAAAATTGCAAAGAGGAAATCATTCTGCACTAGTTAATGCCAACTTTGTCAACAGAAATTATGCACTAACCTTATAAAATATCAATGAGACATTTAATTGACTGCTTTTACAAAACCCTAGAAAACACTGTTCTGCATTTAGTAAGTGCTTGTAGGAGAATTCTGTGGTATTGCCAGTAGCTAAGGTTTGTCTTACATTTTTAGAAAATCCTCTAAAAAGTGTATCAGTAGGTATCAGTGAATTAAGTACTCCACTCTTAAATTATCCCTTGCAAACATTTTAACACTTTTCACTTTTTTCAGTTATCCCATGCCCAAAAGAAGGAGACATAGTTTTATAAAACTTTACGCTAACAGTTTATTTTTGCAGTCTATCTTGTGTAATGTAAAATTCTCAATTTTCAGCAACTAATTCAAAATATTTTAATAGGCTGCTTTTTCAAAACAGTTCAATGTTCAGCAGTTCCTGCTGAAGTCTTCCAGATTGCCAGTTCAAATGTTTTAATTTTTCAATTCTTTAATGCATCAATTTAGAGAAATTATCTAGACAAACTATAATCAGCTAAAGGACTCTATTTAGTATTACTTCTTCCTTTGTTAGCTTTGATAAATGTAGTTGTCATCAGCTCTTCTTCAAAATTCTTCTCAGACCATATATGCAACATATAGGCTAGCTATAGAGCATCAAAGGAAAAACATCTCCTACACTAGGATTTCTGTAATAAAGAGTGTATTTGCTGTATATTAAACAAAACTGTATTATCAGTACCTCTGTTTTGCCTCCTTGATCTATAGGGGAGGGGAATTATCTGCTTAACACTCTTTAGCAAATGCTGAATTATCAGTATTTTACACTCAGAGGATATGGATTTCTCTGCAATTAAATCACAACATATGTTATTCAAGATTTTAGATGCCATGAACAAGGACTGCGGGATACCACTAAATCAGTTACAAGTAGATGGAGGAATGACCAATAACAAAGTCCTCATGCAACTCCAATCAGACATTCTTTGTATTCCAGTAGGTAAGGTGAAATTGTAACTTCTATTTTCTTTTTAAAGCTGAAAACAGCATTGGTTTGTAATGGGTAGTGAGGGCAAATTGGATGGCTTGCTTTGTTGTTGCTGCTGGTCTTTTCCTACTGCTTGAGAATGTTGGGGTTTTGTTCAGAAAAAGTTTTTAAATCTTACATCCAGTTTTGAGATTTGCTTTCATAAAGAATCACTTATTTCTTGTGTTGAAATATTACAGGACTATGATGGTATTGAACTTTAAAGTTGTTATATCAACTTCTAAACATCTAACATTTTTAAGTCAGTTAACACTGTCTTACAACGTGTTGGCCCTGAGAATCTTGCTCAGAGATAAATCGGAACTTTGCACTTTCACTGCTAATGTTTTGTTCTAGCATTTTAGCAAACAGCAAATACCCTATTTTCTGTTCCCTTTGCCCGCACAAGCCTTTGATTTCATTGCAGTGTAAAAGACCCACAAAACACATTGTTCATTCTGTTTCCTCCCACAGCAGCAATGAAGAAGGGAATAAACATTACAACAAAAGTGGGAATCTTGCAGCCAGTTTTCTTGGCATGCACAACACAAAATAAAATACAAGCCCAAATGGGATTGTTCCTCTCTGAAGCAAATAAAAGTTTACAATACCATTACTCTGATCCAACAGTATTTTAGAAATGAACATATAACACTTCTTTCACAGAAGCCCCCTAGAATAATAAAAAGGAGTTTTAGCTTCTTAAGGATGTGTTTCAATACACTAAGGCACTAAGGCTCTTTAAATACCTCAATTGAAACCTGGAACATTTCAGTGTCAGTGAAAAGGGTGCATCTTTCTAAACACCTGTAGCAGATCCCAAGTTGCTGAGTATTGTAAGCTATACATTAACATTCTTAAGGATTCAGTGTGTCACTGTGTAACATCAAGTTATTATGCATCTTCATCTATACTGAAGACTAATATTTGCTGCATAAATATAATAATCTTGCCAAATATGCCGCTTCTAGAAAATAATTTAGAAAAAGCATTGTGTTGTCTCTTACTCATAAATGTGAGACAGTTCACTGGAAAGTTTTTAACTCGAGAGATGTTATAGCTTGCCTTTGATAATACATAAGACACAAGGGTCATACAATCAGTGCAGATACATAATTAGCAGATGAAAGGATATGATCAATAAAAGCAGATTTTAAAGTATCCTCTGCCTGAAGCAGAGAAGCAGGCAGTTCTAGAGTTAATGGAACAGATTTCCCATTGACATCTTGGGGTTGTGATGGTCTTGTACAGCATTTGTGGAAGGCAAACCATCTAGTAAGTACAAGTGTGTAGCCTCTTTTAAGATGCCTTTTCTAAATATAAATGCTTTTAATAACACAATATCTAGAGCATGTGAACAAGACTGATAACTTAGCCAGTGATCACTGCTTTGAGGAGGGAGGGAGGGGGAAGACAAAAAATTTGTATATTATTAACAGGAGTACTCTAAGGAAATGGATGGTTGGGATCAGCAGCTCTGCACATGGTATGAAAATGGGCAATTGCATGATTCGTCCTGAAGGAAATAGTGATCTGAGATATTTCAAAGACTTGGATGACTCATAGGTGAAATTAGCCTCATAACCATGTGAATGGCAATAAAATGTGGTTTGCAGTTGGAAAACTTAAAGGAAGCATATAGCAGTTGTAGAAAATATATGTCATTATAGATATATATATGTAAATATTTAGTTCTGATGTCATCAAGGTGTCTTTCATTAAAAATCATCGTGGTCTTTTCTGTGATTTATTTCAGTAAAGCCATCAATGCCAGAAACAACAGCTCTAGGAGCTGCTATGGCAGCAGGAGCTGCAGAAGGAGTTGGAATTTGGAGTCTGAATCCTGGAGATTTGACAGCAGTGACATGTGAACGATTTGAACCACAGATCAACCCAGAGGGTAAAACCCTTTCATGTATCTAGGAAAATGCAAAAAATATTTTGTGTCCAACAGATCAGGGTTTTTCTTTGTTGCAGTCTAACATACTGATATAAAACCAGCTATATATGAATATCCTCACAAATGTTGAAGGTCATCTTTGTAGTGTTTGGTTTAGAGAAAAGTGCATTTCACTTGTCCGTTTATTGACTAGTAAGATTGGAAAATGGTTAAAACAGTGTTAAGTCCAGAGGGGAATGTGTTGGGGTTTTTTTCTTTCTCCTTTTTAAAAGAAGCTTGGTACTGGGCATTGCAGTTAGTAGCTTTTGATTTATAGCAAATAAAATCAAAGAAATCTTGAAAGGTTTTCACTGAGAAAGATGACTCCTAAAGCTCTTGTGCATTTGTGAGTTTTCACAGTTGTAGAAAGGACAGACTTATGTGAGACTTGCTTTGGCTTTAAAATGCATACACTGATAATTGTTTTTTAGCTCTTTTTCATCAGTTCTTAAGTACTAGAGATGGAAAGCATGCACTTGACATAATTAATCCATATGCAAGACAAATGCATTTTTGTCTTTTAAATTACAGATTTTTGTCTTACCATTTTGATTATAACTGCTGTAATCCCTACTTCAGGGCAGTATTTTCAACACTGAAGGGCTTCTACATGAATAGCAATTGCTTCATTTTTGTCCTACTTGTTAATCTTATTGGCAAACATGCAGAAAATTGGTTTTAAGGTTTATTTCTCCTTAATGTACATAACTGTAGGGTTTTGGGTTGTTTTGTTTGGGTTTGTGGGTTGTTTTTTTTGTAGTCAAAACAGCATTTTATAATACTTGTCTCTGCAAACTATACAGGGCAATAGTAGAAAGCTAGTATCGTAGTCAGTCTTTGCTTCTTAAATACTTGTGGTTGTATTCATATGCATTGAAAGGCTTTTTGTTTGCTGATTTCTCAATTTCAGAAAGTGAATTTCGCTATGCCAGATGGAAGAAAGCTGTGATGAAATCTATGGGCTGGGAGACATCTGAAGCTCCTTCAAATGGTAAAACAGAAATGAATGCAGGTCAAGTATTACTAATTAGCCAGTTAGCCTAGGTAGTTAATCTTGAGTTTGGTGACCTATTCTGTTCATACCATCTCTGGACTATTCCAATAATTTAAAAATTATTACTTATAACCACTGTGGAAACAAAGCAGGAAAACAGATAGGTCTTCATCTTGAAAGGAGGGCACAAGCAATATCTTGTAAGGCTCTAAAAACAGAGGACATGAAAATCGAGACTAACTGCAGGTTTTGCAGAGTGGCATTGATTTTCAAAAGAAATCTTATCTAGAAGAGATACAGCATAATTCTCAGTGCAGGGATTTCATAAACTTTCTTACACTATAATGCCATGTTGCAAGGGAAAAAAGTTTCATCTTGTGATTTTTCTTCCTATATATTGCCTTTATTATTTGCTGTATATGGAGGAGCGATTGATAGCCACATCAAAATCTGTTTGACCCATGAGGGCTAAGACCAAGAAGTTATCATGAAGTGAAGAATTGCATAGACCTATTGTTCACACAAAAAGAATATGCAAACACTTTTGAGGGACTGAACAAGGTCTTTCATTTGAAGTAGAAGGCTTTTCCATCTGTCAGGTTTGAATTAAACAAAACCTGCAGTCTTCTATGATCTGTAATTCGAACTTATATTTCAGCACTATTTCAGGATAGGTTTTTAGTCCTGAATTATCATACAACACATCATTAATGGGCTTTATCTTCATTTCATTTTCCATTTGCTGGAAAAACTATTAGAATGAAAAGTGTTAAGTAAAGAATCCTCAAAATGTAAACTCCCCCTACAATCCACAGTTGCAGCCCTCAAGCTGCATAAAGTCTCTTTATTCTTGAAAGTTAAAGCTAAAATTTTCCTTTTACCATCCCATATGTTGGTTTCAGTATTTTATTTAACACCATGGTTATACAAAGAATTCTGTCAAGGCTATTTGGAAGGGAAATAGGAAACTTAGCATAAGTAACAAGATTCACTTCAGTGTTGTCTATTATGATTTAGTAGTCTTATATCTAAACTCTCTGTTATGTATCCTAAAATCCCAAGTGCTTCATGTGTATCTTACTTATATATCTTTATTTCCTTTTGAAGGATAGAAAATTCTGCCTTGCAGAAAATAAAACTAGATCTTGTTCTTCAGCTCATGTGAAAACAGATATGTTTATCAAAACTTACCCTCAGTGATTATGTTTAACACCAGGGGGAGAAATGTTATATTCCTTCGTTCTTGCTTTGAAACTTTGTGTTCTGCCTGCCAGGAGCATTTAAGATTGAAGAATACTAGAAATGGGCTCAACCTAGATAGTACTAACAGTGCAATTTGGATTTGAGCTCTTATACTGAGAGCCTGATTTGAACTATTATGGGGGTTATGCATAATCCTTTTTAGGTTTTCTCCAGATGTAACTACATTTGTTACTTTTTGCTGTTCATATGATTTTTAACACATTTATTGCAATTTATATATATATTTTTCTTTTGATTTGCTTGACTGGAAACACCCTCCTCTGGATGACATCAGGTGACACTAGTATCTTCTGTAGTCTGCCTTTGGGTTTTTTTATTATGAGTAGCATGATAATGTTAATCGGAGCAAAGTTCGTCTCAGGTTAGTTACTATTTCAACTAGATCACTTTAAAATCTATCTACACTAGTTTATATGTTGGGGGTTTTTGTATTCCATCTGTTTATTTTTAGCAAAAATGACTGATGCTTTTTGTTGTTCATGCACACAAGGGTTTGAGGGTGTGAATTAGGTATGTGGTACCTGAGGGAACCAAGTTAATGACATCTCGAATTCATCCTCATGTGCCATGAAATTCGTAGCTGTTAGGTGCACATGAAACCTTGAACTCTCCCTTCCCTTTGTCTAGCTATACAGACTGTACACAGTTTATAAAAGGCATATATGTTGGAACAGCCTAGCAGTTTTGCATAACGGTGTGCACTGCGGTTAGAATAAGGTTCCATCCTTTATCCTGTATTTTTTCTCAACATTTAAAATAATTTTGAGGATCTTGTTTAAATAAAGCAAAGACTTTTCTTGTCCCTGAAAGGCTTCATGCACCCCTTTCATTTTTCTGGTCCCCTTGGAACTATTTGTATGGTTAGAAATCTTCATCAACTAAATCTACAGAATATTCTTTTTATACTTTGCTCTTGATGGATAAGCGAATTCGTTTTGTGTAAACAGAAGAGACCCTAAAAGGCCTATTTGTGAAATGAGGGAAAGGGACTGTGTGCATATGCAATGAAGATGCATCTTCAACCTATTAATATATGTTTTATTTTAAAAGTAAGTTCTTAATATGGATGACGGTGTTAGTTACTTATACCAGAAGTAAGACATTTCATTAAGATATTCTTACGGTAAGAAAAATAAGTTTAAGTGGTGATGTCATTTTTTCTTTGTTTTTGTGTTTCATAATTTCATTCCAGAGAAAATATTTTACAGTATCGCCATTGTTGCTGCTTATTAAGCTTTTGGGGAGTGGGTGTTTAGTTTTCTTTCTTTGTTTTGCTTTTGGCGGGATGGGCAGGGGGGTGTTAATTAAATAGACAATTGAGGACTAGCATGCTCCTGTGATACTGTGTTTGTATTTTGTTTCTACTCATTCAGCCTGAATTAACTCTTCAGTTTTAATTTTCCTTGCATGGAAGAGATTGTCTGAGCTTGTAAGAGAGTTAAAATCAAACTAAGCAAATGCTAGTCAAAAATCAAACCGAACAAATGGATTGATAGTGATTTACTAACTCTGGAATGTATCTGTGAGTAAGAACAATCTTGATTATGAAAAATAAAATAAAACCAGCTGTGAATAAGTGGGTAAATTTTTAACAAGCTGAACTAATCAACTTAAATATTCATTCCAGGTCAGGTTCTTCATCTCATGGAGGATACCTAAAATAATATAAAGATCAGTGTTAAGTGGGCAGATAAGCAACTTAAATTCTGGGTTTATTGCTTTTTAAAAATAACTAATCAGTAACCTACATATAAATATCTAAACTTGCACTGTTGGAACTCATTAAAAAAAGATACTTTTTTTTCTCCCTTCTCTAAGCTTGTCAGTTCCTTTCTGACTCACAAGTGAAAAACATACTCAACTCACTCTGGCCTTCAGAACCCATTGTCATCCTTGTTCTCAGATAACAGTAACTATTGATAAAGTTATATATATTACACATACTGTATATAGAGTTACTATATATATCAATATAATTACTTTATGTACCAATATAGTGGTATATTTACACGGTATAAGCCTGGACACAGGAGAAGTTGCAAGAAATTTCCAGCTCTTACTTGTTTTTAAAATTATGATGTCTAAATAGGAATAGCATCAGTAATGATACATACAGGTTGTAGTCTTGCTCAGCTGTGTGTTAGGGTAGACCATGATGTATAGAGTTTGTGTTGCTGATTGGAGCAGGGCTGCTTCCCCACTAGACATTTACTCTGGTAAATATCCTTTTGCTTTTAAAAGTTGCAACTAGCTGACAAGACTTTCCTTCTAATTCAGTACAGGAACTTCATTAATTCATTACATTTTATCTTTTAATGAAACACTGGAACTCCATCACAGTCATCAGTATAGTAGGTTCGAGGATTGAATCTACTGAGAATTGAATTCATCCTTCATGTGCTGAAACAGCAGTAAGTCTTGCATAGCAACAGTGCTGTTGTTGAACATGTCTCTGTAGGGCAGGGCCATGATTTTACAACTACTAAAAGGCAAAGGAAAAATCTGCTGTGGCAGAGAACACTAACACTAACATGGCAAAAAAATTTACAGAACTGCTAAACTAACTGCCTTTTCATGCAGCACCTGACTAAAGGGCAATGCTGTATTTCATCGTATCATTTCAAAATTTAATCAAATCAGGTCAATTACTTGTACCTTATTTTATGATCTTCATTCTTCTTTTCCAGGGGAAAAAGGGCCAATATTTTGTTCTATTTCACTATTGAAGCAAGTTGTATGTAGCAACTGGAGTTCTTAGGCTAAGATTCTGATTTTTACACTAGTTTTCGAAGTGGACATCTGAGAGATTTCAACATATGCTGTAGCTGTACTTATTGGAGAGAGTTAACTGAAAGCGGTACTATATTTTATTAGACTCAAATTTAAAGAAATGCCTCTGCATGCTTAAATTCGCACCTCTAAGGTACAAGTGGTGATTGGCTATATACAGGATCTTATGTGACATCTGGGGTATAAAGTTCTTTGACTTTATTCTCACAAAATAAAGTGTCAGTGCTGGTGGTAATACTATATTCTTCCTGCTTAAATACTCTTCAGGTGTTTTTTCTAAGATTCTATTTGTCCTTTTTAGTTTCTTGTGTTGTGATAGTTACTGCCAAATTGCATGCTAGTTTACATCTAGGGATCACTATGTGGTTCTGCAAGTTAGTTGCAATAATATTACCCAAATTTCTGAAAGCTGAGCTCATATTCAGAAAAAAATAAGCTTAGAGTATCTTCCTTCAGTTCTTCTACTTGTTAAAAATTTACCCATCTTAATAGTGTGGTCTCTTCTCCTACTCTATGCAGATCCCACACACTGAAGTGCTGGCTTATCTGGTGTTGCTGGTTATACTGAATTCCTCTTACAGCTCAGCTCTGTTATAGAGTGTTATTAAAGTTTTAGAGTAAATTCAGTGTTGCTAATGCACATTCTTTCTTATTTAAGGTACTGGTAGATGAGACTACTTAGTGGACTCTCTGGATGCAGCTGATTGTTTTGTTTTGCCTGAAGAGATTCCACCACCAATGTGATTATACTACTTGTGTGACTAAATCCATTCATGAATCCATCTGTTGCCAGTCTCTGAGTAACCTCCCAATGGTACACTGAAACTTAAGTCTTCAGCCCTTCATTACTCTGCTCCCTTCTCCATCAACTCCAACTGCACTGCAGGCCTTTGCATGGAGTATCTCACATCATCCTCTAAAACTTCACAAGCCCTAGCTTTGTTTGAGAAAGTTGATATAAAAAGCTGTGCAACTTCTGAGGTAATGTCAAATGTTTAGCTATCCTTTTCAGGGTCTGGTACTTTATACAACACACTGCAGAAGGTTAATGGTGCACTATAGAACTTTGTAAGCATCTTACAATTCTTCCAGCTGCTGCGAATTACCTTTCGTATGTCTGTGGTTGCCAAAGATATTTTATTGTAGGGGCTACTGGTCTGAAACACCTCCAGTGGTACGAACCTTTTGGGCACTAGCTCAGAATGTATTGTCAGTAGCTCACATTGCCAGTGTTTGGCAATGGTCCACAGAGTACTGTTGAAATGATCAGTTACAAAGTTAAAAAGTTTGATTTGGCTTCTGGCCTATACAGTCAGTTTGTCCATTATAAGTATTTAAGACACTAAGTCCTATGGCTGTACCTTTAAAGAGATAGGAGTAAGAGAGAGAGTGTTTTGTTTAAGGCTATGTTTCATGGTTTTGTGCTTTTGTGTTTGGAAAGATAAATTTGATACAGCATGCTATTGACAGGGCAACGGTAACTCTTAAACTGCTCTGTACAGTGCACTTTTGTTGACCAATTCTTCATCTATTCTGTCATTCTGCTTAAGGATATTTTAGTGACTATTTGTTAAACTTTCAAAAGTTGAAGCTAACTTAATTTTCCTTAAGAAGGGTCCGCTTCAAGTTAAGCATCAGTGCTTTAGTTCTTGAACTCATTTAGTATATCTCAGGGACCAAAATCTCCCTTTCAGTTTCCATGTCCATAGTTTTAACAGCAAGTTGATGCAAAACATGCTGGGAAAATCCAAAACCGTGGCTTGGAAGAGTAAGCACTTGGCACCCAAGACAGGCCACTGGAATTCACAGGCAACATGCGTGACAACTGAGTTGCATCCACTTTGAAACCTTTTGTCCTCCACAGGTAAAGGAGTGAGTCAGCAATATGATCAGCTTTCCTGTTTGTACCAACAGCATGACAAATGCCAGCCTTACTGGTTAAGTAGAGAAAATATGTTCTTGTGTAGTAGATCAGTATAGAATGATAGTGAGGTTAAATGTGGGAACAACATGGAGAATTTAAAAGATGTGTTTAAATGCACTAGGAGTTAAAGGGAGCATTTTGTGTGTGTGTGTGTGTGTGTGTGTGTGTGTGTGTGTGTGTGTTTATTCTTAAAGATTTTTGTTTTTAAAAAAATAGTCTCTAACAAAGTTTGATTTTCTTTGTTAGACTGATTAAGTTTTTAAAAAGATGTTAAATATGTGTGTCTGAAGCAACGGATTGCACAGAATTTCAGGTCTGTATTTAATATCTTGCATATTAATTGCCTTTTTATTATCAAGTGCAATGACCTTTGAAAATGTGACTTTTAGTTAATAAGTGAGAGAAGGAACATTTTTTGTCCTGTGGTTGCATGGATAAATTCAACAGAAGGGATTTTTGTGCACAGGTTAAAATATAACAACATCATTCAAATCCCGTATCTCCTGTATATACTGAAGTGTGAGGTGTGACAACTAAAATTTCTGGGTTTTCCAGTTTGTACTGGAGCAGTGAACAGAGAGTGAAAAATGAACACTAACCTGTAGGAAAATCCTTATACTCTTTACCTTTACTAGGGGCTGTTGCTGATCCCACCTTACCCCAGGGAACAAAGTAACAGCCGCCTTTGGAGCACACAGGGCAAGGGCAGCACACACCTCAAGCACTGGACTTCTGAGTAGGATTTATTGCCAAAAACACTGAAGCACTGAACCTGGGAACGATTAATGTTGAAGTGTTGCCTTTGCCAAAGATGTATGTGGTGGGAGGGAAGGGTAGCACATAGGAAGTAGGAGAGGGAATTTTTGCTGCTTTTCTGATTTATCTTTTACTGGGAAACACAATTCCTGTTACTTTTTCACTGAGTAAAAATAATTATTTTCAATTGCTGTTGCAAATATTTTTTAAGAATTTCACACCACTGTTAACTTTCTACCAACATAGTTGAAATATATTGTAAACTGTGTGTTGGGGGGAGGGGACAAACTATGGAAAGTTAGCTTTCTGTGAAGCTGTGATTTATTTTTTTTCTATAAATTACCAGATTTATAAATTCTTACTTGAGAAATGCATTAACTTGGTATTAAAATACCATAAATAAATTGATGTAAGCTGTCAGTTTATTCTTGCACATTATCTTTCAGACACATTTTCATTAATGATTTTACATGAGACGTTAGAATACACTGATGCATGTTAAACAACAGAGCACCTTCTTTAAGTATCACAGGCACATGCTTTAGCTTGCTCAGATATATGGATCAAATACCTGCAGTGTTGTGTTCTGCTTTTCAGTGATGTATTCGGTTTCAAAGACTGGATTAGAAATTACACTTTCTCAAGTCCCTCCATATTCAGGAAAAAGCAGGAAGACACAAGTAAAACAAGAAAAAGGAGCACCGTTGTAATTCAGGTTTGATCTGAAGGTCTCAAACAACATTGCTTGGTGGGGCCAGCAGGCCAAATGTTTTTTTCTCTTACATTGTGGCCTGGTAGTTGCTGCAGATTAAAAAGCCATTATGAGTTGGAGGAAGAAATGTTAACGGAATAGTGCTGGGGGCACTAGCTGGGAGCGTAAGGTATTTGCATTATTTTAAGAAAGAAGCATGGGTGGGGGTGCATGTGGAGGGTACAAGTATGGAGTGTGCCTGCCAGGTTCTTGTTTTGTTCTGTCCCTGTGTAGCTGCCAGCTGTATTCTGTGCATCCAGCACTGCATAATTATACCAGGGATTTAGCCTTTGTCCATAGTCTTTACAAAGTCTTTAGTCCTCTGTATCGAAATCAGTTGTGTGAGTTAGAACAGCCCTAACCCCCCCACACCCCCAAAAAAAGGCGTTTAAATACCAGCACAGAAACCTTAGGTAACATGTTATTATTACTCAATATGAGACTTCTCCCTCCGCTCATGAGACTCTAGTGTCTCCCTTTCACACGGCAAAATTATAGCCTTGCCCTTGGCTGCGCTGCACAGGAGCATATTCAAATTGCACGGTTCATCAAGCTGGAGTATTATGAGAACTTTATTAATGTAATCGGTGCCACAAATTTATATGTATAAAAATTTTTGTTCAACAAAAGCTAATACAACATCTAGTCTATTAGTGGAACTCTGTACAAACAAGCTTCTTAATATCCGTATCAGCACCCAAGCTATAATCTTTCCATCTAAAGAAGCTTGGATCTGTAGCCGTGGGAGTGCCGTCCCATTACAAGCTGTAGCACAGGCCCAGTATGATTTATTTTTTTATCTTGTTGTAATACTTGACTGGCATTTATGGAAGTTGTACTCATCAGTCCTGGAGATAAGGGCAGGCAAATGAGTAGCAGCCCTTTAAAGCTCGGAAATGGCACAAGAACGTTGCTGCAATGATTTTCCTGTGCTGTCTAGAGGGACGTCGGCAGGCTGGAGCAATGGTCTGACAGGAACATCATGAAGTTTGAAAAGGGGACGTGCCAAATTCTGCCCCTGAGAGGAAGAACACCAGGCACTGGGACATGCTGGGGGCCAACTTGCTGCAAAGCAGCTTTGCAGTAAAGGTCCTGGGGGTCCTGGTGGGCACCAAGTTGAACATGAGGCGGCAATTGCATCAGAGACAGCCAGCGTCACCCTGGGCTGTGTCAGGCAGGCAAGGGAGGTGATCCTTCCTCTGTCGTCAGCCCTGGTGAGACACATCTGGAGAGCTGGGTCCAGCTCTGGCATCGGCAGTACAAGAGAGACAACAGGCCACAAAGATGGTTAAAAGCTTGGAGCATCTGTCATAGGAGAAGCTGAGAGATCTGGGACTACTCAGCTTGGAGGAAGCTCAGATACAAATACCTGATGCAGGGAGTAAAGGCTGTGGAGCCAGACCCTTCTCAGTGGTGCCCAGTCTCAGGATGAGGGGCAACAGGCCCAAACTGAAACACTGATTATTCTGAGGGTGGTCACACACAGGAGCAGGTTGCTCAGAAAGGTGGTGGAGTCTTCACCCTTCCAGATACTCAAAACGCGATGGGACATGGCCCTGCTCTCACTGACCCTGCTCTGAGCCTGTGATTAGGTCAGCCACAGCTTGTCTCCAGCACAGGGTGAAGGCTTGAGCCAGCTAATAATAAAGGTCAGGGAAAAAGAAATGCTAGTTTATTTGGACAAAACCAGTTCACTTTGTATGAATCAGTTTTCACTCACTGTTGTATTTCAACTTTATTCAACAGACGTTATTACTGTGTTACCCTCTGTACGTATTTGCTTTGGAAGAGTCAGCCCTATTGTGCAGGCTTATTATCTTGTTTTAGTTTGAAGACAGAATCTTCTAAGCAGTTGCAGTGGGAGTTTAAGTAGAATGACTGTTTATCAGATTCCTAATTGCTTTAGTCTAATGCCGTGTTTTTCATAGGGAATTACACCATCAGGTGCTTCTAAGCAGCCCGAAAGGCAAGCATGGGATGATATCATGCTTTTAGAGAGACTACAGTTAAATTGTAGTTAGCAAAACCTAAAAATTTGACTTCCTTAATTTTTTATAATGGGAAGACATCAGTTTGAGAGTAATTTCTTTTTGTCTGTGGTGTTTTTTCTTTAAATCCATGGGCTGCTGGTCTGGGGGTTTCTTCTCTGACTGTCCTTGAAAGCACATTCCCTTCAGTTGGAAGGATCTCCTGCATCATTACTTTTTAGTTCTTTGTA